GTTGTCTTGATGGTGATTTACTTAAGAAGTCCCTATTGGAAGATATTTCAGATATTTCTAGTTATGTTTGGTTTTGCAAACACTATTTCAATGAATAGTCTTACACATAAATATGATAGCATCTACAGGATAATTATATATAGCCTGTCATTCTGTTATTTCCTAATGTATTTATATATTTAGGGGTTCAGACATAGTCTTTATTATGCAGTTGTTACAGAATTTTTATTCTTTTACTTAAAGACAGGTGCTGTGTATTAAATTATTTTATATAGACTTTGACCTAGAATAGTGTATAAGTTAAACCCTTTGGATAGGCTGGAGTGCCCAGACTCTACGAGATTCTATTTCTCTTTTATCCTTCTGAGATTTTTACAATCTTTTTGAAGTTCCTGATAATAGAAGAAAAAATTATCAAGATGCCTTCAAAGTCAGAGGTGTTATTTATGCCAGGTTGCAGAATAAAATGATCTTTAATCTCAGGTGAATTTTTAAAAATGTAAAATATGTTGCTTTTTTTTGTTCTACAAAACAAAAGATTTCTTTTTCTTCTTTTGAAAGCATGGGATGAGATGGGGTATATCTCTACCAATACTTAATTGAGCTGTAGGTAAAATAACAGAAAGACATTTTTTGACAATTTTGGTGCTCCATAGAAGATACAGTATGTCAAAGGAATTTTTTTTGTGTGGAAGCAGTGCTGGAGATCAAACCTAGGGCATTTTATATACCAGGCAAGTGTTCTAATACTGAGCTGAACCCTTGATCTCAGAGTTCTTTTTTGAAGATATTGCATGCAAAGAGAAAACATTGGAATCATCCTTTTAATACTAAAGTGAATAATTACTTTATATAAATTTATATATGTATTTATTCTTGAGAATAAATAGGTTGACCTTGTTTAGGTTGACCTTGAACTCATTATGTAACCCAGGCTGTCTTCAAATTCCTGATGATCCTCCTGCCTCAGCCTGTCAAGTAATGAGATTACAGAGGCATGCCACTATGAATTTAAATATATTAAGGTACATTTAGGTTTTGGTTGGTGCTTTGAAAACTTTAATGAAATGGAGTTTTTTTTGTCACAACTTTAAAATTTTTCTCACTCACTTTTTGATTATAAAACTGGACAGTTTTCAGTCAGAAAAATTTTGTGTTTTATTTTGTATTTGGAAATTCCACCTTTTACCATGCATGCCATCACTGAGATTAGAGACTCATCCTTCTTGTTTTTCTTTGTAGCTTGCAGGATATCATGATTTTTGGTTTCTGGTGTGGATGATCGGGAACTAGAAATAAAAGGCATGTTTCTGTTTCTTCTAACTGGTTCTGAAAAACTGACTCCTTGCAATTCTAGGAAACTGAAGAATAAAATAAATTCTACTAGGGTTTTCAGTATTGATACTAGAAAAAATGATTTTTTTTTTTTTTTTTTTTGTGGAAATAGGGATTGTACTCATGACCTTGCACTTGCTAAGCAGGCGCTTATACCGCTGAGCTAAATCCCCAGTGCCCCCTCCACCCCCATTTTTTTTTTTTTTTTTTTTGGTACCAGGGATTGAACTCATGACCTCCTGTTTGACAAGCAGGCCCTTAACGCCGCTGAGCTAAACCTCTGGCCTCTGTTGTAATTATTTTAAAATAGTTTTTAGAGTTATACTTCACTGTATTAATCTTTTCTGTTGCAAATAATATAATATCACAGACTGGGTGAGTTTGTATAGAAAAGAGGTTTTTTGCAGCTTAGGATTCCAGAGGTTCAAGGTCAAGGGGCCACATCTGGTGATAGCCTTCTTGGTGGCAGAGACTTGTAGTAGTGCAGGACATCACATTTTAAGGGTCTGCATGTATGTATATGTGTATGTGAGCGTGTGTGCACATTTGGTTTTTGGTCTTTCCCTTTTCTTACAAAGCCACTGGGATTCAGTCATAGGTGCTTCATTCTAGTGACTTATTTAATCCTCACTGCCTCCTAACGGTCCCACTTCAGTTAAATTAGTTAGAATAAGTCTCTGCCTTTTCATTTTGCCCATTTTTTGCCATCATTTTGCCATCCTGGTCATTGAACCCAGAGAGTGCTAAGTTATATCCCAGAACATTTTTATTACATTTTGAGACAGTGTCTTGCTAAATGGTGTAGGCTGACCTCAGACTTGTGGTCCTCCAGCCTTAGCTCTTGAAGTGGTAAGATTAAAAGCATGCACCACCAGTCTAGTTTCTACCCTGTGTCTTACAAGATGACTAGATTAAATTTGACATGTGAGGCCATGGGTGAGTACACACTCAAATCATAGCCAAACCTAATATTCATATGCTAAAGAATTCATCCATTGAAACTGCACATTTCATTTGCTGTAAGTACACTCACAGAGTTGTGAAGTTATCACTACAGTCGATTTTAGAACATTTTCACCATTACTAAAGGAGATATAGTTACCTTTTAATTTGCCACTCCCTATTTCTCCCCAGAGTCACCAGCCCCAGTCATACACTGATCTGTCTCTATCTCTAGATTTGCTTATTTTAGATATTTCATGTAAACAAGATGATGCACTATGTGGTCTTTTGTGTCTGGACTCTTTGGCTTAGCGAAGTATTTTTAAGGATAATCCATAGTATATCCTGTGTCAATGCTTCATTCCTTTACATTTCCAGATCATATCCCACTATATGAATATTACTATGTTTTATTTATCCATCTACTGATTGATGAATATTTGGGTTGTTTCCATTCTGCAACTGTTATAAATGGTTTTGCTTCAAACATTCATGAACATTTTTTGTGTAGATATTTTTTGCAAAGTGAGATAACTGAGAGTCAGACATTTCACTTTATTTATGTATACTAAGCATACTTTACCAGAGAGTGCCATCTCCAGCTCCTGTAGACATAGATTTTTATTTCACTTGAGTATAAACCCAGAAGTACACTCTCTGGGTCATGTGATAACTGTTTTAGCTTTCCAATAGTGGCTGTAGCATTTTGCATTTGTACTAGCAAGGTATAAGCTATAATTTCTGCAAAGTCTCCCCAACATTTGTTGTTATATCTTTTTTGATTATAAATTTTCCTACTAGTATAAATTACTATTGCATTGTAGTTTTGCATTTTCCTAATGATTAACAATATAGATTATCTTTTCACATGCTTTAATGGGCATTTGTGTTTCTTTGGAGAAATGTCTGTTCAAATCCTTTGCTCATTTTATTTTGTCTTTGTATTATTGAGGTATAAGAATTAGCCAGACATAGTGGTTCGTGCATATATCCTAACACAGTAGAAGGCTGAGGTAGGAGGATCACAAGTTTGAGCACAGCCTGAGCAACTTAGTAACTTAGCAAGACGCTGTCTGAAAAAAGAAAAAAAAAAAAAAGAATTATAAGAATTCTTTGTACATTCCTGATAAAAGTTCTTATCAAAATGTGATTTTCAAATGTTTTATCTCATTCTGTGTATTATCCTTTCACATTTTTAAATGTCATTTGAAGCACAGAAGTTTTAAATTTTGGTACAATTCAGTTTATATATATTTATTTGCTGCTTGCAGTTTTGTTAGAAACCATTGCTTAAGCCAGGGTTACAAACCTATTCCTATGTTTTCTTCTGAGTGCTTTATAGTTTTAGTTCTGTGGTTTTAGATCAGGGATCCATGTAGAGTTGACTTTTTTATATATTCTAAGGAAGGTATTCTGCTTCCTTTACTTTTGTGTGGAAATCCAGTTGTCCCAGAGCCACATATTTGCTGAGGAGCCTTCCTTTTTCCATTAAATAAATGAGGCACATTTGTGAAAAATCATTTTAACATAATTATAAAAATTCATCAGAGCACTCATATATACTTCATTGATCTCTGTGTTTTCCTGTATGCCTGTGTCATCCTGTCTTGATTGCTGTAACTTTTTAGGTTTTGAGATCAGAAAGTATGAATTCTGCAATACTGTTTTTTAAGGTTTTTATTGGGAATTTTTTATATGGGGGACTAATGTATGGCCTTTGCACTGAGCTATATCTCAGCCCTTTTTTATTTTTTAGTTTTTTAGTACAAGGGATTGAACACACGACCTTGCGCTTGCCAGGCAGGCGCTTACACCACCGAGCTAAATCCCTGGCCCTTTTACTTTGTATTATAAGACAAGGGCTTGTGTTTGGGTGGAACTGGAACTTGTGATTCTCCTACCTCTGTCTCCCAGAGTGCTGGGATTACAGGTATGCACCATTGCTCCCAGCTTCGGAACTTTCTGTTATTATTCTGGCCCCTTTGCCTTACTGTGTATTTTAGAAATCACTTGTTAATTTCTGTATAAAAACTAACAGAGGTGATACTATGGATTCTGTTAAATCTGTAGGTCAGATTGAGGGGTGCTGCTATCTGTAATGACATTAACTTTTTTCTGTCTTTGAACAAGAGTCTTTCAATTTTTTACATTCAGAAAATCCTAGTGTTTTATAAAGAATAAAAAAATGTTTATTTTGTTCTGGAAATCGAATTCACAACCTTGTGCTTGCCAGGCAGCCGCCTATATAAAAAGTACAAAATTTGTATTTCCTTCAGTTTATTCCTCGGTGTTTTGTTCTTTTTTGATGTTGTAGGTAGAATTGTTTCTTAATTTCAATTTTGGATTGATGTAAATGTTTACAAATATGATTCAATTCTGTATATTAAAATTCATATTTTTTAATATTACAAAATTATTTTAGTAGCTTTTTATTGCATTCCTTAAGATTCTCTGTATACAAGATAATGTCATCTACATATATAAATAGCTTTACTTCTTCTTTTTTCATTCAAATATCTTTTTTCATGTTGTAATGTTTAGAACATCTAGTGTACACTGAATAGAAGTTGGCAAAAGACATGACATCTGTCTTTTGGGGGAAGCTATTTAGTAATAATGATTTTTTTTTTTTTTACCCTTAGAAGAGTGAAACATTACTTTGTTTTGAGGACTGATTTTTTTCTTTTTGATTGACAACTACTTTTATATGTTTGCATACACAGATATGTGCTGATTAGAAGGCTCACTTGTGCAGTGCGGAGGATAAACAGTGCCTTACAAAAATGGGGTTTGGGAGTGACCTGAAGAATTCACATGAAGCTGTATTAAAATTGCAAGACTGGGAACTACGATTACTGGAAACAGTGAAGAAATTCATGGCTCTGAGAATAAAAAGTGATAAAGAGTATGCATCTACTTTACAGAATCTTTGTAATCAAGTTGATAAGGAAAGTACTCTCCAAATGAATTATGTCAGCAATGTATCCAAGGTAAGAAGCGTTAATTTAATAATTTCTTATGTATAACATCATAACTGTCCTTAAAATAGATCATACTATTGAATGAGCCTACCCAAGTGAGTTTGTAGAGTTCTAAGTTTTCTGAGTACAGTTTCAGCTGCATCTTTGACATTATCCTATGCTTTGCAGTTCAGAATACATTTTAATTTCCCTTTTGATTTCTTTTGGATTCATATGTTCTTTCAAAGTCTTGTATTGAATTTATAAATACTTTTTTTCCAGAAACCTATTATCAATTGTGAGTTTAGTCCACTATTTTCCAAGAGCCTATTTTATATAATGAATGTTTTTAAATTTATGAATAGTTCCTTTATATCCCAGAGTATGGTTTTTCTTGGTAAATCTTTCATGTGGACTTGATAAGTATATGTATTCTTCGTTGTTGCTGAGAATACTAAGAATACTCTGTAGATGACAATAAGGATGAGATGGTTGATAGGGATGTTTAAGTCTTTTATTTTAAAGTATCATGATATTATGGGTAAGCAGAATGATAGATCATACATATGGATAGTATATATTCCTGTGTATAGTGTATATCTCCCAGGATTTATTATGAAAGTGAAGAAGTTTCACAAGTTGGAGAATCAGAAAATCTGGTGAGACAGTTCAGTTTATTTGTAGGGGAACTGACACCATGACTCAGTCTGAGACCTAAGCCTGAGAACGTGGGGAGTTGTTGATACAAGTCCCAGAGTACAGAACCTAAAAACTTGACGTGCTGGCATTGAGGGCAGAAGGAAACATTGAGAAGTGGAGAATTGGGTAGCTGACTTTGCTCTTCACCTCCTGGACCCTGTTTCTCTGTTATTCTCTGACAACTTGTAAAATTTTTGGCATAAGTGTTTCAGGCTTCTGTTGAATGTTCCTTTCTGTAGTTCTAGAATCGACTCTTTTTTCCGTAGAGTTCTAGTTCTTTTAATAGAAAATATTTTGAGTATCTAAACAATTTACTATGTGTGGAATCTTAGGGTTACTGTATTGTGCAATTATAAGTAATGCTGCAGTAAAAGGCACTGTACAGATATATTTTTGATCATTATGTATTTTCAGGATAAATTCCTGAAAGTGGGATTTCTGTATTAAAATGTAAATATGCATGTGGTTTTGTTGTATAGTGCCAATATAACTGTACATTTTTTGCAGAGATTTTACACCATTTGATACCATTTTCCATATTCATCAGAACTATACGATGTTATCAGCTTCTGCTTACTCTAGGCAGAAGTGTATGTTGTCAGGCTTTTGAATTTTTGTTTATCTGATAGATAAGAAATTATATATACCATGATTTTATTTTACATTTATGTAAAAGTACAAACATATTTTAATATTTCATGTTTAACAATTATTTCATTTTAAAGATTTGTTCTATGGTGCAGATAATTTTACTGTTTTTAAATTTTTTTTTTTTGTACTAGGAACTGAACAGAAGACCTTCACACTGAACTACTTCCTTAGGCCTTTTTATTTTTTATTTTGAGACAGCACCTACTAGGTCCCTAAGTAACCTGAAGCGGGCTTGAATGTGGGGCCCTCCTGCCTCATCCTCGCAGAAAGTTGAGCTTGTAAATGAACAACACTGTCTTGGCTCTGCTTTTCATTTTTTGAAGCAGGGTCTCACTAGTTTCCCCAACAGTGATTAAATTTGTGATTCTTCTGCTCCAGCCTCTGGAGTAGCTGGGATATCAAGCATGTATCTCTATCCCCAGATTGCTGTGTTTTGTCTAGAATTATACCTGTGCAAATACTACTAATTCTATTTTGAAACAGTATAGAGGTACAGTTAATCCCAAATCACACAGTATTCAAAGGGAGTTGTTGGCTTACATTTTAAACACAAAGAGGATTTAATATAAGCAACACTTCAGATATGATGTGAGAATCAAAAGTAATTCACGATGCTTTTTGGTGAATCAGATTTATTATGTGGTACTAACATTGTATATATATTGTATATACAGTATAAAATGTTTTAATATTACATATATAATATATTATCATATATAAAATGTTTTATATATTATATATTGTTATATATATGGTAATACCAAGTACCAAAGTTTCTGCTGTATATACTATGGCATATTCACAAAATACAATGAATACAGCTACCTAATGCCATCAGGGGAAGGCAGGGATCTTTAATACAAGCAGCAGTGTGCCAGCCTAAATCAGGGCATGTGAGATTTCAGCTTGTTTGGTGTGCTCATTTGGCTGTAAACTGTGGTTGAAAATAGGTGTGTTTTAAAGTGTGCTATGGAATCATGGGTTAGGAACAGCATTAACATGAAATTTCGTCAGTTTTATTGGAATTGTGAGATTATACATCTTCAGGGTCCACCTTTTTAAGGAATATAATCATGAGAGATGAAACTTGGGTCTGTGGTTTTGATTCTGAGGCCATGTTTAGAGTTCTTAGTAGAAGTTATCCAGTTTTGCTGGTATGAACAAAAACACATCAGTTAAGATCCAACGTAATGATGTGTTTTTTTGATGGAGCTATATCAGCTAAGTTTATACCAGTAACACTATAGTGAATTCTGAATATTATAAGGGTTTATTACCGTTTTTAAGAAATGATATGTCTAGAACATGGCCTGATAGGTGGGCAAATGGTTTCATCTTCTGTCGTGATAACACTTTGTATCATACATTGCTTCTGGTACAGCAGTTTCTGTCAGGTAAAAACATTAGTTTGTCCTTATCCATGTCACTCATCAGGTCTGGTGCTGTGTAACTCTGGTCCTTCTCCAAAGTCAAAATGATCACGAAAGGTAAACGTTTTGAATCGATTTCTGATCGTTGAGGCAGCCATGATAGCACAACTAAAGATAATGATGAGGAAAGACTCCCAGAACTGCTTCAAAAAGTGGTAAAAATGATGGGATAAATGTGTTCAAAGTGAGGGAGATTAATGATAATGTCTTTCATTATAGCACAGTAAGAATTCACTGTATATTTTGACCATACCGTGTATATGTAAGGCAAAATTCCTCATGTCTGGCTGTAGAGTCAATTCTGATATAACACTTGATTTGAAAACACAGATTAGTTTCAACACAACTGTTGTACTAGTGAATAATCTAAACTTTTTTTGTAAAGATTTTATTTGTAGAACTAGTGTAAACACAAAGTTGAGTGCAAAAAACCATACCTACCCAACTGAAGCAGGCTGTTAAGGAATATATTTCAGACGTCAGTCTTTTACTGGCTAGCATTGTTTACTCTTTTTGTTTTTAATAAGTCATAGTCATCCACATGTGGTATTGCAACTTTCTGTTAAATTCTAGATAATTTTTCTACCACTTTACAGTAACTCACAAGTTATAACCATTCTAAAAGCTACTTTGACAAGCAAACTTTGTGTCTTTTCAAGGTAAAGTTTCTTGTTTATTGTAATAGTTATTTATTTTTTAAGTCACTTAATATGTGTGAAATGTGCAAAGTTTTTTATTTCTTTTCCTTTTTATGTATCCTTGCTTAATTTTTGAGAGTTATACTACGAACTTTATTTGACCATATACTCTATGACTTTTATTATAGATTTTGCATAACCCAGTGATTATTATGGGTATAAATGTTTTGTTATGGTAGAACACTACCATTGTACACTAGAATTAGTTAGAGAGTTTTAAAATACTGATACCTGAACCCCATTAAAAGTTATTAAATCAGGATCCCTGGTTATGGGGCTCAATAATTGGTATTTTTGAAATGCTCTCATTTGCTTTTTATGGCAGCCAAAATTGTGACTATTTGGAGTAGGGAAACCAGGAACCTTTGAAGAAGATAAAGAAAGAGAGGCTCTTATGAGAAGAAAGTATCTAAAGTTTTGCAGTAGAATCTTTGAAAACCTCATATTTAGGAAACTCTAATGAGTTGTTTTCTGCATTTCTATATCCCATAAGGACTGAGAGACTCCAACATTCTTCTTATGTATTAGGCAAAGTCAGAATAAGAATAACGGCTTCAGAGAACCATTTATGTTGAGTCATTGTGTAGTACAAAGCTATGTATTCTTCATGGAATTTTAATGCTGCATTTAAAAACATTCAGGCATGAAGAAAGAAAACAAGTAGTTGGAGTATACAGTCTGTGGCAAAATGCTGTTTATGACAACTATTATTAGGTATTTTTCAAGCTTGAGTCATCCTGTTGATTATTTTCAGTGCTTTACTATAATTACAGCTCCAGTAGTAGTTTGTTCTTTTACTGTGTGCCAGAATACATACTTTTTGGTGTAATGAACTCAGAGCATTTTAAAAAATATTTTATTATTTTGAAGGTAGTAAAATACAACAGAACAAGATGGAATAAAGCCAGTTGAGACAGTGTAGTAAAATTGGTACAGAACTTCACAGCAGGTTACTGGGATAACAGTAATAGGTACCATAGTATATCTTGTTATCTTCACAATAGTAGTTCTTTCAATCAGGTACAGCAAAATCAAACAAAATACAGAACATTATAAAACTTATCAAAACAGAATATTGAATAGAGAAATACCATTCAACAGAACAAAGCAAAACAGTAATAAAAATATTTGCGTTCAAAGAGATGGTAGAAGGAAATCCCCTTTATTTGTTATATTGCATATGGTCAACCTCCCAAGAGATGCTCAGATCTCTGGCTCTCATTTGCTAACGGAATGGGGATGGGATGGGTATTTGATTTTCATCCCCGGCACCAGTAGACTTGCCACCATATACCAGGGAGGTGAGCTGGTTGCTTGGTTTCCCAGCACCCTAAGTTCCAATATAGCGCAGATCTTGGGAGACACTGGGTGGTTCTGGCCCTGAGGCGGCCGCAGCTTGCCCAAGCTGCAGAACTCAGAGCACTTAAATTACTACCTGTCTCCAGAAGACTGATTTACATTACTATACATCTGTTGGTTCAACGGTAGAAGGCAGAAAGGCTATGATGTACTTTCGTGGCTCTTCATTTTTAAAAACATTGAACAGTTTATTTTCTTTATATCATGTATTCATTCTTGTATACCCAGTACTACTGACCATTTTTGGTTTCCTAAAATAGACATTTTAAAATTTAACTATTTTATAAAGCTGAGCTGCTATTTAGTAAAAGGTGAAAGATTTATACGATCTAAAGAGAAACCAGAGTATAAGATGCTTTTTAGTGTATATTCCTGATGTATTTTTTCTCTAATGTAAAATTTTTTTCTTCTCATGTAAAATTTCTCTTGAATAATTCTAAGTCAAATAAGTGTAGCATTTTAGTTTTGATTACAGTAGATGACATTAAAATCAAATTTAAAAACTAAAAACCATTTGAGATGATAAATTTCAGGTAAAAACAGTATTTTTATGATATAATATTATTATTTAATGTACAACTTTGAATTCTGAAAAGTCATTTAAAATCTCAAACCAGTAATTTTTATTTTTCTAGGGCATAGGAAAATATGTGCTCTTGAGGTCTCTGTTTTAAAGTAGGTCTATTTATGATTATAGTATTTTTGATTGTGGTATTAGGGTTAGTTCACAAAGAAGGTTTATTTCTTAATTCTTCCAGTTATGAAGATTCAAAAGAGGAACCATTATTTTAGTTAGAAAGCCAATTATGTTGAGAGAACTGTTGTGTGTCTGTAGCTTCTCATAAAGTATGGCATATGAGGAATGAATCTTGACCTAGAGGGACTTTTTTACTTAGATATACTCATGCTACAAAATAGGTGAGTAAAGGGAGCAGAGAATATTTCACTTTGACTTTTAGCCTCTAATTTATTGATAATGTAGTGAACAGAAGATTAAAGTTTGCCGTGTAATTTGTAACTGGCTTTAAGTTATTCTCATCAGTTTAGTTTAGATAATAGTTCTAAAAACTGCTTTTAGATATAAGGGCTTTTGTGTTCTGTTTCTTTCCTATTCCCTAAATATCAAGTTAGAACCAATTTAACTTATTTAAGTGAGATAAATTCGTATTTACAGGTGAGCTGTTCCATTTTAGCTATGTGACCTCAAACAGATTAATCTCTTAATACAGTTTCCACATAAATGAGACTAAAATACTTGTGTCATTATAGTGATGAAAGCATTTGTAAATAAGAGGAAGCCTATGAACTGGCAAAAAGTAGACAGTATTAGAGAGGAGGAGTAGAAAGTCATTTAGACACGTGAGATTAGCTGTAAAAAAAGGTGAGGTGAGAAAGGAGTAATGGAATTCATCAACTCTACCAATTGGTTCTTTGTTACACAGGACCTGAGTGATAAAAGCAGTATTTATTTGTTAAATCTTAAGAGAAATGTTGTGTCCCCTGTGTATAACCTGGTTCATCTTTATCTAAAGCAGAGTTTTAATTTTTATTTCCCTAGAATTATTTGAGGGATTTAAAAACAAATTAGGGCAGTAGATAGAAGGGTTGTTGGATTGTGGGAATACAGAGAGAGAGGGCTTTGTTTCATAAAGAAATATTGAAGCTAGGAATGGTGGTGTGCTCCTGTAATCCAGGCTGCATAGGATGCTGAGGCAGGAGGATTGCAAGTTCAGCTCAGTTTGTATAACTTAGCAAGATCCTACCTCAAAAATAAAATATGAATCTGGAGGTGCAGCTCAATAGTTGCGATCTTACCTAGCAAGCGAAAGGTCCTAGATTCAATCCTCAGTACCTCAAAACAACACAAACAAATGTTGAGCCAAAGAAGCCAATCAAGGAGAAATTAAGGATACAGGAAAAGGGATAAAACCTAACAACTTCTGTGGGACATAAAGAGAGAATAGGAAATAGCAGGGTAAATAGCAAAACATCACAGGGAGCAAGACGGGAGGTAAATACCTCTTCTCACTCATTCTCTCCCTCATCTTTGCCCTCTCCTTTACAAAAAAAGCATCTCACAATTAAAAATGACCCTCATGTGTTCTCAAGACCTATTACCTATTTGTTTTATATAAATAGGTATTTATATATATTTATATATATTTATATAAATAGGTATTTATATAAGTATTATATATAATAAATATATATATATTTATATAAATAGGTATTTATATATTTATATAAAACATATATTATGGGATGTCAAAATAAGATTACCAAATTTGAATTTGATGAATCCAGGCTGTGACCAAGAATTTGCTTCTTTTAGGTTGTGATTCAGAGTTTTAAGCAATTATGGTTTATGATTCCATTGAAATGTTACAGAAAAAGAACAATTTTATTCATTTACATCAAAAGTAGTAAAATAGTAGTATGTTATTAGTAGTAGAATAGTAGTGTTTTTATAAATATTTGAAATTAACACGAATCCTTCCTGCTATGACAGTCTCTAGTAATTGTTTCTGCATAAAATTTTGAAGACCTATAGTGAAAAGCATTCCTCTATCACTTTTTTTTCATTAGGAATCTAATGAATAACAAATCATTTATTGTTCTAGTAATCTCTGTGTGCCCACTTTATCCCACCCAGCATTGTGGGTCTCTGCTATGGAGGCAATGTATAGAAATCCAGAGAATACCAGTATTTATGACACAGGCAGCTACAGAAGAGAAGGTACCAAAGACTGAGAAAGAAATTGGTGACATTATTGAGGCATTAAAATGCTGTAGGCAGAGCATGCTTTTAGTGTGTTGGAAAGCAAATGAGTAGTTTCAGTGTGGACTGCTAGAAAAGTCTTTAATCCTTTTCCTAGCATTTTGCATAGTCTCTATTGAATTTTGAAGCATTTGTAGTTGAAGTTGACAATATTAAATACAAATCACTCATAGTTTATTTCACAATTGTCAGAATCCTGCCATTTCATATTTATATTATTATTTCTATAAAGCTAAATATCTAAAGCTTTTGAAGTCTAAAATCACAGAAAAATGCGTACCTCTAATATAAATACTAATTTCCTTTTCCTTCTTTCCCTCCTCCCTTCCTTCTTTTTTCTTTTTTTTTGCCATGCATAGTGAATACATTCATCTTGGGGAATTTACATATATGCACATATGTACATATATAACATAACATTTTAATCATTTTTACTTCTCCTTTCCCTCCTCTCTCTATCTCTCACCATTCCTAGATCTCCTTTGCATCTTCACAAAGTCTGCCTTCCTATTTCTATCATCTGTGTTTTCTTTTGCTCTTTATTTATACTTTGTATTTTTTATATAAGAGAAACTATAATTAATTTCCTGTATCTGATTTTTTTCACTTAGTGTTATGGTCTCCAGGTACATCCATTTTCTTACAAATGATTGAAATTTATCTTTTTTTATGATTTGTTTTTACATATTTTTTCCCCATGTAGTCGCTGTGCATTTGTAGTTTTTCTTTGGAGATGTGTCTAATTCAATTCAGTTGCCTGTGTTTTGGGCATCTTTAGTACAAATGCTAATTTTCCTTTTTCCTTTTTTTTTAGTCTTGGCTACTTATGATTCAGCAGACTGAACAACTTAGTAAGATAATGAAGGCACATGCAGAGGACCTAAACTCTGGACCCTTACATAGGCTTACCATGATGATCAAGGATAAGCAACAGGTGAAGAAGAGTTACATAGGTATTCATCAGCAGATAGAAGCAGAGATGATCAAGGTTTGTCTTTCCATATTGAATTTTTTAATTTGTTTAAATTCACTGAATATTTTATTTTGCATGACTTTAAAAGTATTGATCATTTCCTCACAAGAAATAGGTTTGGCGACATATATGGATTTGTGTGCGGGAGTGTGTGTGTACACTTGTGTGGGACCTTAAAAACTGAACTCAATGTGTTTATACTAACCCACATGCTAGCCCTTTTTTATTTTTTATATTGAGACAGTGTCTTGTTAAGTTCCCTGTGCTAGGCTGGAACCTACAGTCTTCCTGTCTCGGCCTTCCTGTCTCGGCCTTCTGAAGTGCTGAGATTACAGCTGTGACATATTATTGCCATTTTATATACAAAATATTACTGATTGTAAGATATTTGTTATCTTTTATACATTTAAGAATAAATGTTTTCAACTATATGTTTGCACTATAATGTAGTTCTTTTAAAAATCATATAGAATATTTTACTTGTTTACTGAAATAACTTTTAGCCTTTTAAAAATTTAATATATAACACTAAGCATAAATAACAGAAAATAGAAGCAAAATAACTTAAGATATTTCTAAATAGTTTTTATACTTACAGCTTATTTCTTTTGATAGTTTCTTAAAGCTGTCTTTATTATGAAATTTTACCAGTACACAAAAGAAGAAAAAATGATAGCATGAACTTCTACCTACTTATCACTTAAAAATTCATTTTATTTTTTCCTATTGTCCCATTCACTTTTTCTTCTACACTGAATTACTTTAAAGAAAATCTCAAGTATGATTTTGTTAATAAATATTTTAGTGTGTATTGCTAAAAAAATTCTTTAAAAAACACTATAGTATCCTTAATCTGCCTAAAATGCCAATATAATTCCCCAATGTTAATAAATATCCTATCTTTAATGATTGCCACTTAAATGTTTTTTTTTACTATTGCTTTCTTTAAATCAGGGTCCAAATGTAGTCCATATTGCATTTGAATAATTCTCATTTAATCTTTAGGTTTTCCTTCGTGGCCTTTTAAAGAAAGTGCCATTTATTTATTGAAAAAAACTGAGTAATTTGTTTTATAGCAGTGAGTTTCATTCATTTTGGATTTGATGTTAATATCTTATTATATCTCATTTTCCTTCATCTTGTATTTTTCCTGTAAAGTAGAAATTAGATTTACAGGCTTGAGGAGATTGTTGTGTTTTTTGGACAAGAATATACCTAAGTGGTCTTGTATACTTGCTGATGTTTTATGTCCAAAGTTGTATAGTGCCCACTTTATTTTTCTGTGATGTTAAACTTCACTAGTGAGTCTCTGTGCTATCAGCTAGATAATTTTTCTTTTTTCAGTATCGAGGATTGAGTTACATCCCCAATACTGAATCTTGGGGACTTCATACTGAGCTGTCTCCCTAGCCCTTTTCATTTATTCATTTTTGAAGCTCAGTGACAGTGTGTTACTATGTTGCTGAGGCTGTGTTTGAAATTACCATCCAAGAAGCTTTCCATTAGACTTTCACCTAATAATTTTAGAAGATTAATGCTTACTGCTTAGATTATTACTTTATTTGAATTTGTGCAATACTTGCACAGTATTTTACTTTTATCATTTTCTACCCTTATCTACTTTTCAAAGCTACTTTTCAAGTTAGCTAAAATTTTTGTGTAAAGAATATATTCCTGTATCAACTCTTTGGTTCTATAAACTATATTTCATTTAGGAAAACCTAGAGAAGTGCTTACTTTATCTAGTTAATTTGCCAATGTGCGGAATAATGAATTGGTTCTTCACCAATTCAGAATTAACCAGAATTTTGGATTTGATGTTAATAACTCTGGTTAATACAGAATTAATCAGAGTTTATCTTGAAAGAATGATTTGGCTTATTACGCAGCATTTTTCTCTGTGCCATCAAGAACATTTGTGATTCAGAATCTTTCAGTATGTGGTCTCAGATTGTTTTCCAAGTTGCTGGTGCCTCTTCTGCTTGTTTTTAATGCTGTCTCTTTCTCAGTATTTAGAAGGCATACTGGAAGATGTACAAACTTCTGGGATTTATGTTTTTACTTAAATTGTTTAAGTAGCTTTTTTACTATCAGGTCAAAGAGTTACATTTGTTTATTTATCCACATAAACAGTAGTCAGATTCATACATGTTGTGTGTGACCCCTGGCTTGATTGCTGCCTGGTCAAAGTGCTTATCTCTGTGAATAGGATGCATCTTCTTTACAGAGATGTTAAAGTGTTTTAAAAAAAGTGCATGTTAGAACTGGTGAAATAGGATTGTTAAGTTATTATTAAAGAACATGCATTATAATAAAAATACTTAGTTTTTAATGATAGAAAAGATTTATGTTGCAAATTACTTAGCCATAACATTTCATTTTTTGAGGCACTTAAAATATTCTTGACTAGTTTAAATTTAAACATTTAGCAAATTATGCATTTTGTTTCTTTGACAGGTTACAAAAACAGAATTGGAGAAGTTAAAATCTAGTTATCGACAGTTAATCAGAGAAATGAATTCTGCCAGAGAGAAATACAAAGAAGCTTTAGCTAAAGGTATGACAAAATTATGAAAAATGTTTATGATTTTTAGTTTTGTAAATTGAAAGCTGTCTTTATAAGCAGCAGAGTAATTCCATTTAGAGCAGATAAATTATGAAGTCTCAGAATGAACCAGACCACTTGTCATTCTATTTTTTTTTTTTTTTGTATTTTAAATGATTAGTAGTTTCTCTTTCCATCTCTCTTTCTCTCTCTTTTTTCTTTTCTGAGACAGGGTCTTTCTGTGTAGTCCAGGCTGGCCTGGAGTCACTGTGCAGCTCAGACTTTTTGCCTCAGCTTCCCAAGTGCTCAGTTTATTGGCATGCATTGCCATGCCTGGCTGATTAGTAGTTTTGAATAGTTCATACTAAATCAAATTATGTAGTATTTACAGTAGAATGTAAAGAATGTGTAAATTTTTTCCCTAGCATTAGACTTACTTATTTAATTACAGAGAACTTAAAAAAGAAGTAGGGGCTGGGAATATAACTCAGTGGCACAGTGCCTGCCTGACAAGCATAAGGTCATGAGTTCAAGTGCTAGTCTTCACCTCCCCCGCAAAAGTGATGTTCTATTCATTTAGACATTTTTACCTGTGGTATTTAAAATACATTTTATAGAATTATCTTGCTTTAGGGGCTGGGGATTTAGCTCAGCAGCATAAGCGCCTGCCTTGCAAGCAGGCAGTCGTGAGTTTGATCCCCGGTACCAATAAAAAGGAAAAAGACCAAAAAAAAAAAAGAATTAACTTGCTTTTAAATAGCTTAATTTTATATGTGTCTCTATATGTACCATATGTAATTTTATATCTAGGAATTTGTTAAATGTTAGATTTTTATAGCAATTAATTATAAACTATGATCAGAAGCATTACTGTTGGTATCATTGAGCAGTATTTTCATTCTGATTAAATGTTTTGTATTAATCTTCATATTTAGAGTTTTAAAAATTAGATAAGGATTTTTTAATTTAAAATTTTTCAAAAATTTTTTTTCTTCCTAGCCAAATAAGTGTTATTAAAAGCTCTCTTTTCTTTTGGTTTTTTATCTTTTCTCTTTTCACCAACATATTTTCTCTTATTTGTAGTATATTCTCTTGTCATTTTTTTGGATCACATAAAGGAAACAATTCTTTTATTTGGCTGTATGTTGCACACTAAAAATACTATTGTTATTTCCAGTAGTTTAAAAGAACTGAATGTATTCTATTTAAGGTGGTCTTTTCATAGCAGTATAGAATAACAAGTACTTGAATGGAAAATACCTAAATTTTATTTTCTGCTGTAAATTCAATCCTGAATACTTCTAGTTGGTTAAGTTTGCAGTATGAGCAAAATTACAGTGAATATTTAATTTAAACATTTATGATAGTAGAAGACAATAACATTAGTACCTAAGCAAAAGATTCCGCTTGTTTTGAACACACTGTTCCCATCGTTCTCGCCAGTTTCTGAAGCAGTTTTGGAAGTCTTTTGTGTCTTTAGTTGTGCTGTCTTGTGGGTTACTTTGATATCCTGAGTCAATGTAAAGCATTTACCTTTCAAGGTCATTTTGACTTTGGGGAAGATCCAGAAGTCACAATGCACTAAACTTACTGAATACGGTGGATAGGGGAGTGCCGTGTTTTTATGAACCTTCTTTCCCATTAGACAGCATGGTGCAGTGCAGATATGTTTTGAACATATCTGGTAAAGACATGAATGAAGGCTCTCAGCACTGCTTCAGAAAGTGGCAAGAATGATGAGATAAATGTTTTTAAAGTGAGAGATAGTATTCTGAGAGATATTAATTGCAAATAATAATTTTTTTATTCAAACACCCTGTAGTTTAATTGGCCCTTGTACATGATTGTTTATATATAAAATGATTTTGTGAATTCAGACAGCTTGTCTCTGTCCTAAGTAGTGTAAAAGGAGTCATTTTCTTTGCTTTTTATTGTGTATATTAGAAAATTAGTAGGGCTGTGGTTTTGTCTCTTAGGAGATTTCCCAGAGGTTTGCTGGGATTCTCTCTGGGAAAGCGAGGCATTTTTTGCTACAACACATGCTTTACTGACTCCCTTTCACTGTCTTTAACGTTGTAGTTGTCCATGGTAAATAAATGAGGAATTTTCTAATGTGAGTTTTAATCTTTTAGTTTTTAAAAGTCACAAATGAGAGATTATTTGAGTCAGGAGTGCAAAGTAATATATACGCTTATGAATTTAGCCTGTTTTGTACCAGCAGGTGAGTGGAACCAGGTTGAAATCTTCCTGGACCAGTGCTTAGCTTTAGTAAAAGACTCAACATTGCTTCTTTTCCTGTGCCTTAGCAGGGATAGAGTGATGGAGTGATTCCCACAGAACCATGTGGGACTAATCTCATAGGTATCCAGAATTGTGAGGATTTTAAAGTGTACCCATATGGATGCTGTTTGGATCCTGATTTGAGTAGTAAGTGTAGTAATGAGATAATGTGAGAAATTTGTACCCAGACAGGAAATCTTATTATATGTTAGATTTGGTTATGAAATTTGTGGTTATTAAGGGCCTGTTGGTTTCTTTTGTTTGTTTTAATTGAACAAATATTTGCAGCTGAAATGATGTGATATCTGAGATTTGCTTTCTAAATAATCCATGGAATCTCCAGAATAATCTTACTTGCCTTGTTTTTGAACTTAAGCCAAAAGATTTAGTCTTTCACTATTAAATATGAAGTTAAAGTTTTTCAAAGAAATTTTTAAAAAAATCAGTTTGAAGAAGTTTCTGCTCTTGCTTAGGAATGAATGTTAGATTTTGCCAAATATTTCTTCCATTTCTGCAAAGGTAAATACACATTCAGGTTTTAGTTTGTTTAACACGGTAATTTCTGTGACTGGTTTTTCATAGGTTTTAGATCCTGATTCCTAGAATAAAATATTCATGATGATAGTATATCAATTTTTTTATATTGTTGGATATATTTGTGAAGTTTGGGGTTATAATTTTCATGTCAATGTTTATTATAATATCTTTATCTCATTTTCATATAAAGGTAATGTTGGCCCCAGAATGACTACCTCTTTCTGTTTTCTAGGTAGATATGTGTTTGAGCTGACGTTTCTTTTTTCTTTTTTTTTTTGGGGGGGGGGGTCTACTGGAAATTGAATTCAGGATCTCATGCTTACCATGCTTACCTGTGTCACTGAGCTATATCCCCAGCCCTGTTTTTAAAAAATATTGGTAGAATTTTTTTTGGCTGAGATCTGTGTCTACTTTGGTTTTCTTTTTTGTGAAAAGCTTATATATTTCATTTTTATAATTAATATAGGGCTATTTATTTTAAAAATTTTTTAGTTTTTTTTGGTACTGGGAATTAAACTTACAACCTCATGTTTGCTTAAGCTGCTGAGCTAAACCCCGGCTTTTTTTTTTTTACTTTAAGTTTGGTATATGTCTTTGAAGGGATTTGTCCATTTCATTAAAGTTTTTGAATTTATTAAGTTGTCCATATTATTCCTTTACTTACTTTTACATTTATGGCAAAGTTTCCTTTTTCATCTTTGGTCTTAGTACTTTGTATTTTTTTCCCCTAATAATCTGGCTAGAGGTATATCACATTTATTAGTCTTTTTAAAGATCAACTTTGGATTCTTTGAGTTTTACTAACATTTTCCTTTTCATTTTATTGATTAATGCTGTGCTGTTTGTTATTTCCTTCTTTAGGATGGTTTAGGCTTATTTGCACTACTATTTTGCAGTGCTGGGATTGAACCAAGGGCCTTGCTAGGCAAGTGTGCTACTACTGAACTATAACTAAAGTCCTCAGAAATTTTTGTATGTGTTTTGTTTATTTTCAGTTCAGAATACTTGCTAATTTTCTTTTTTGACTTTTACTTTGATTCATAGATTATTTAGAAGTATATTGTTTAGTTCCTTAATGTTTCGACACTTTTCTAGAGTTTCTTTTCTATTTTTTGGTTTTTAAATTAATTACATGGTGGTATACCTTTTATGACTTTATTACTTTAACATTCATTCATACACTTCATTGTGGTTTATAATATAGTCTATTTTGGTAAATGGTTAACATTTGCTGGGTAAGAAAGTGTTTCCTGCAGTTTCCTGCACTTAATCTGTCTTGTCATTTTGGTCTTGTTGGTTTAGTAGTGTTCAAATTTTTTATGTTCATAATGATTTTGGGGATACTTGTTTTATCAATTATTAAAAGATGTTATTGAATTATCTCCAATTATAATTGTGAATTTATCTGTTTTATTTTTCACTTAAGTATAACTTTAAGTATTGTTTCATTATTTTGTAAATAGTGTTAGCACCTTACAGTGATATAGTTCTGTTTCTTTTCACTTTTGTTGTGATGTATTTTACTTTTTCATATATAATAAACTTCTCATATGGTTAGTGTTTTTGCCTTTGCCTAATCAATTATCTTTAAAATAAATTGCAATACTATATAAACTATCATTCATCATCTTGCATTTTTATTCCTTCATCTACAGTATCATTTTAATTAGTCTATTTTACCTAAATATTTCTTTTAATATAAATCTGTAACTGATTTTTTCAGCTTTTCTAGGTCTGAAAAAGTCTTCATTCCACTTTTATTTTTGGTACTGAGTAGAATTTGACAGGTTTTTTTTCTGTTTATGCTTTTAAAGATGTAGCTATATTGCCTTGTCAAGGAAAAAAATCTACTGTAATCTTATATTAGTTCTGCAGGTTTTATTTTCCTTTGCTAACTTTTAAGATTTTCTTATTACAGTTTTGAGTGATTGAAACATGATTTATTATATCATAGTTTAAATTTTAAAAATCTCTTGTATTTTTTGAGCTTCTTATACCTGAGAGTTTATGAGTTTTTTTTTTTTTTTTATCAAATTTGAAAACATTTGGCCATTATTTCTTCACATACTTTTTTTGCCTCTCTCTTCAGACCCCAGTTACCCATATATTAGGCTGTTTGTACTTGTCCGACAGCCTCTGCTCTAGTCAGTTTTTCCCCTTGTTCTTTTTCTCTGAGTCCCATTTTGGTTAGTTTT